GGTCGATGTGCCGACGCAGGACACGACCGTTGTCCAGGGCAAGCTCGTAGGAGAGAGGACCTGTGACCCTGGAAATAGAAGCGGGGACCCAGGTATGACCAGGCCCGTAATTGCGAGCCCAAACCGGGGCACCCACAAGTAGTTGTCTAGGTGCCCTAGGATGTGAGGTAGATGAAGGCAGTCTGTCCGGATGCAACCGGTCAAGTTTAGTAGTAAGTTGACGCCCCCAGCGAAGTTCAGCTGGGCTTCTCCCTGTAGAAGTGGACAGTGTGGTACGATAAGAAAGGAGAAAGTCAGCCAACCTGTGATGCCAGTCCCCGTAGGTGAGTCTTTTCAAGGCGTCCTTTGTGATGTGCACCATACGTTCAGCCATACCGTTGGTGGACGGGTGGAAGGGTGCAGACGTGGCATGACGAATCATGTTAGCCTGTAAGAAAGCTTGGAATTCGGAGGAAGTGAATTGAGGGCCGTTGTCAGACACGATGACATCTGGAAGCCCGTGTGCAGCAAAAATCCCCCTCAGTACCTGAATAGTCTTTGCAGTGGTGGTGGAAGAGACAGGTACAACCTCAAGCCATTTTGAATGGCTGTCAACAAGGACCAAGAAGAACTGGCCCTGAAAGGGCCCAGCGTAGTCAATGTGCACCCTAGACCATGGGGACTGCGTTTCCTCCCATTTATGCACGGGAGCTTGGAGCATCTCTGGGCGAGATCGTTGGCACAGGTGGCAAGCATGCACCTTAGCCTCAATATCCTTATCTAAAGCAGGCCACCACAAGTGGCTGCGTGCAAGAGCCTTCATACGAACAATGCCAGGATGACCCTCGTGGAGGGATTCTAAGACCCTAGTCCTCATTGAGGTGGGAATGACAACTCTGTTTCCCCAAAGCAGACAACCCTGAGAAAGGGACAACTCGTTTCTTTTGGACCAGAAACTCTGAAACTCAGGACTAGGGCAGTGCTCAGGCCAACCGGACAAAACCCAGGAACGGACACGTGAAAGTGTGTGATCTGTACCTGTTTCAGCGGCAACATCCCTGGCACAAAGAGGGAGCTCGGGCAAGGCTTGGATTGATAGAATGTTGACAGCTGGCGCAGGGTCAGCTTCTACTACTGGCAGAGGCAATCTACTGAGGCCATCAGCATGGCCCATTTCTTTCCCAGGCTTGTGGAGTAAAGAAAAATCATATGCAGACAGAAAAATAGACCACCTAAGCATTCTAGGGGAAATGATTTGGGGAGTCTGCTTACGTGTGGTAAACAGTCCCAGCAGAGGCTTATGGTCAGTGAAGACCGTGAAATGCCTGCCATATAGAAAATCGTGGAATTTTTTAATTCCAGCAACAACAGCCAGAGCCTCCCTGTCTATCTGAGCGTAGTTGCGCTCAGCAGAAGACAATGTTCTGGAGTAATATGCAACAGGAACCTGAGTTCCATCAGACCTGAGGTGGCTCAGGACAGCTCCTACCCCGTAAGGGGACGCATCACATGCGATGCACACAGGAAGAGATTCGTTGAAATGTGCAAGTACACTGTTAGAAGTGAGCAAGGCCTTGACTTTGTTAAAGCAAGCCTCATGTGTTTGTGACCACTGCCACACTGCTTGTTTGTCTAGTAGCCTGTGAAGAGGCTCAGCTACACTAGCTTTATGAGGAAGAAAAGAATTGTAGAAATTCAGGAGGCCCAGGAAGGCCTGAAGTTCGGCCTTGGACTTTGGCCTAGGTGCTTCTAAAATAGCTGTTAGTTTGGATTCAGCAGGGTGAATCCCAGCAGCATCAATTTTGAACCCCAGAAATTCAGTAGAAGGCACCCCAATCTTGCATTTGTCTTTTTTGAGCTTGAGGCCTGACTTCCTGAATCTTAACAGAACAGCCCTTAGCCTTTCAGCTAGAATGTGTGTGGAGTCTCCTGCAATTAAGACATCATCAAAGTAGGGGCAAACCCCTGGTATACCCCGTAGTGTGTTTTCCATTACGCTTTGGAAAATCCCAGGAGCGACATTCACTCCAAACTGCAGCCTTTTTACCTTAAAGGCTCCCCTGTGGGTCACAATAGTCTGAGCTATAGCAGCATCATCATCAACAGGCAGCTGTTGATACGCTTGAGCTAGGTCAAGCTTTGCAAAAACGCGCCCCCCCTTGAGGGAGGCCAGAATATGACTGACCACAGGAACAGGATAGGCATGTTGCTGCAATGCCTTATTCAGAGTGCATTTGTAGTCAGCACAAATGCGAATGTCCCCATTTGCCTTTAGAGGCGTGACAATGGGGGTCTCCCAAGGACTGGAATCAACAGGTTCTAGGATTCCCTGTTGAATCAGTTTGTCTAACTCAGTGTCAATTTACTCTTTAAAGCAAAAGGGACCCTTCTTGCTTTAATTCTAATGGGAGTGACAGTGGGGTCTAGCTTTAAGGACACAGGGGGTCCTTTGAATGTGCCCAGCTGGGGGCTGAAAACATCTGCAAATTCTTTGCAGACTTCCTGTAGGTCGAGTGTTTGTAAACTGTTGAGTCCTGTGACGTGTATCCCCAGGGCCTCAAACCAATCGAGTCCTATGAGACTCGTTCGTTCACCCCCTACTACTAATAAGTCTAGTGGACCTTCAAAACTCTTGTATTGCACGTTAAGGGTGGCCTCCCCCTTAACACACACTCTTGAATTTTGAAAATCTGTTAACACAATGTCAGAAGGCCTTAACTTGGCCTGAGTTCCACTACCGGAACAAATCTTCCTAAATGTATGCAAGGAGATAATTGAAAAGGCAGACCCTGTGTCTAGTTCCATAGATAATGGAACCCCTTGTAGCTTCACCTTGAGTGACAGCTTTTTCTTAATGGGCTTGTGTGTGCCTGTCCTAAGGATGCTTCTTCGCGAAGCGCAAAAACCTACCCTATTCTGGCTGGGAATCTGTACCTTTCAGGCGCAGTTCTTCCTGAGGTTGTACCTTTCGTCGGCCCAGACACACAGCTGCAATGTGTCCTTGTTTGCCGCATGCCCGGCAGGTAGCGGAGCGGAACTTGCAGTCGGTTCTCCTGTGGCGACCTCCACAGCCGATGCACTTGAGCGGAGCTGAAGAGCTTCCCTTCTGTTTTTCTTCCGTCGTGGGGTGGAGACGGTCGACTTCCTCGTCCGGATCCTCCTCGGAGTTTCTTTGGGCGTCTTCCTGGTGCACGGATGCAACCTCTGGACTGTTTCTGATCGGCCGCATGTTCTTGACAGCGCCGCCTGCTGCTTCTTCTGCGGTGACTTCCCTTAAGGCATCTTGGTAGGACAATTCTTCTTTAGCGAAAAGTCTTTGTTGTAGATCTCGATGCCTTAACCCGCACACGAATCGGTCCCTCAGTCGTTCTTCGAGGTCTTTGAACTCGCAGTGCTTGGCGGCCTTCCGTAATGCGGCGATGAATTCTTTGGCCGACTCACCGGGCCGTTGATCCCTCTGCTTGAAGGTGTGGCGCCATGCGATGACGGACATCTTGGGGTGGAAGTGCTCCTTCAGTAGCTTCTTCAGATCTGCGTAGCTGACAGACTCTACTGGAACAGGTGCTGCAAGGTTTTCTGCGATGTCGAAGGCGTCTTGACCGCAAACACAAAGCAGGGTGGCAGCCTTCAAGCTCTCTTCCCTCACTTGGTTTGCCTTGAAGTAGTTCTCCACCCTGGCTACGTATGACTCCCACCGCTCTGGATGTGAGACGTTGAATTCCGAAAGCCTTCCGATTTTCGCCATCTTCAGAAGACGGGTCTATCAGCCAGCCTACCCCCGAATGCGCACTGGATTGGCGGGTAGCTGCCGAGTCGACGCCGTTCCGCCGCTCAGGACTCACTTGGGTAAGCTTACACTTCTTCCTTTCCAGGCGGTGTAAGGCAATCCCACCTTCGTCGCCAGTGTTGAGTCCTTGGCGGGAAGCAGACACGAGAAGCAGTTGAAGTTCTCAGTTTCCTTTATTCAGCGTTCAGCTTACAAGTAGATGGCTTCAGCAGCTCCCAAAACCTCCCAGCTTCTTATATAGACGCTTCCCGGGTAAATGTGATACTTTTCCCGCGCCAGCACCCGCGCATGCGCACGGCGCTGGCGACAGCCTGTCTGGTCCCGGGCAGCTTTGCACCTGCCCAGGACTGCCTGCAAACGCCCGAGCCGTTTGCAAGGCTCGGGACATAACACAATTGGTTTGTGTTTTCTAGAAAGCCAGACTCATTCTCTGAATTAATATGGTTATGGAGAATTGCAGGAGAAGAAAAAAGGTGGAGGTGGGGAATGGAGTGAACCGTCAAGGAATTTATTTTTAAATCTGCATTTCTACAAAACTGTGGTGATCTGCAGGTTGTTGGATTCTTAGAAAAAGCAACCTGAAATAACAGCATGACTTACTTACATCTCCCACATTGCTGTGATGAAATTGGCTCTGGGCATGTCCTCATTATATTAATGCAAATGAGAAAATACCTGTGATCTTTCATTTCAAACTTTGCCTCCTTCCTTTAGAAGGTAATGGTGTATCTCACTAGCATCTGTAAAAAGTACAATAAGTACTGAACTGCAGCAATCTTTCCAGTGAAATGAGAGTTGGAGGGAGGGAGGGAGGGAGGGAGGGAGGGAAGGAAGGAAGGAAGGAAGGAAGCAAGGAAGGAAGGAAGGAAGGAAGGAAGGAAGGAAGGAATCCAGAGTAGGCTCTGTACTCGAAAAAATATGGGCCCCCTAGTCTGATGCTTTCATCACTGGGAATAACAAGATAGGGGTTGGTCCATTCATAATACTAACTTTCTTTTTTGCCAATGAGCCTCAGGTATTGAGGCAACATGTAGAGGGGTGAAACTTGATGGCTCTATGAGATTGTTAGAAAACAACAAACCAGAATTCTCTAGAAAATTGTGTTACTTTTTTGTGCCAGTCAAACTATGTAGAGGGCTTAAGTTTCAGAACCAAAAATATCTTTATTTTTTATAATTTCAGTTATATAAACTGCATAGTTTGAATAACTGCTATTTTCTCTTTTTCACTCTAGAAATTACTTGTTCAGGCTGCATAGTGAGGATCTTTCTCTAATCCAGGTAAGCTTACCCATATGGTAATTTTAAAAAGTACAATTTTTATCTTTTTAACTTCATCTTTATTTATCAAGTCAATTAAAATTTCAGCATATGATTTGACTTATGATGTATATTGGGGTGGACAACTAGGGCTACTTTAACGACCTGTGGACTTCAACTCCCAGAATTCCTGAGCCAACGGTGGCTCTGTTCAGGAATAAAGAACTTGCAATTCTGTTCCTGTTTCTTCTTAGTTTGATTCCTCTCCATGTAAATCAATTTTTATTTTAGGATAGAGAAGCAACAGTCATATATAACATGGAATTGGTATAGCTCAGAAAGCATAAAAGTAGTAAGAACAGATTCAGTTTCCCTTCCAATTTCATTCTATTGAAAAATGAGGGGGGAAATCCTAAATTTGAGTTATTTCCTTGCCAGGTAATGAGAAAGCAGGCCTCCATTTTTTGTAATCCTACTCCAGAATTTGAGATTGACAAAGATTCACTTTTTTCATTATCACTACAATTCCAAATGATCCAGAATGGATTGGGCCAATTTATGGAAGCATTGATTTGACCCTTGAAGTGCATAGTGTAGCCTTTGCATAGTCCCAATGATAATTTAAATGAAATTGCAGCAAATCTCACCATGTTGGAAAGGCTGTAACTAGACAATCAGTATAGCACTTTGTCTGCTCTCCAAGAGTAAAGTGTTAATGCATAATTTCAAGGTCTGTACTCGCTTTTCTTCTATCTTGTTATATTTACTTTAGATTTAGATGGGCAGCCCCTCAAATAGATGGGTATATTCTTTTCCATATAAACCCAGCATTTTATTCGTTCATTCTTCTTTCGAACTGTGGGAGGCATGATGTTATGTTGGATATAATGGAGTAAGTGGATTGAGAGTGATTGATCTGTCCTCACCTGCTTACTCCATAAAATGCCAAACTAGACTGTCGGTTTGTCATAGTTTGCTAGTGGCCTCAACTTCAGATAATATAACAGTTACTCTGGATAGAATTGAATTTGTAGTATCTCCAATATTGTGATTAGATAATCTTCTGTTAAAGTTTAGTATTATAACTGTTTTCCTCTACAGGGTCGAGGGACTGATATACACAAAAAATGGCAGAGTCTCAGTTGCACTATTGTGGCCACATTGTTCACTTTTGTTGACTACAGTCTTGCAAGGTTCATTTGATAGTTCACTTCATGAGTTGTCTATGCCTTGATTGGTTGTTTAGAGCTTTCGTGCAAGGGGTGTTATAGAAAAATTTGGATTTGCCAGTATGGGGAATCAATTTTGACAAAGCCAATGTAAGTGTCAAATGCCAGGGAAATCAAGAGATTCAGGTAGTTCAAATGAGTATAAAGATTTATTGCAAGCTTAAGCTGTCTACAAGAATCTGAACTACTAATGGTCAAGGTAATTTATAGAAAGGAATTCAAGGTGGGCTGGACTTAGTTCTCGTGTGGGCGTGTAGAGGCTCATGATTGATGATGTGTTTGACCCCTCCTTCAGGTTCAGCCTGGTCATCTCTTACCATAAGCTCCATCATGAATTCTCTTGCCATTCCTACTTTTCCTCTTTAAATCTACCTTCAAACATAGTTATCTTGATTGGCTCATAACTAATTAAAGTATCATAAAGTTAGTGTTCTTATTTTAAAACTCCACACAAACTAATGTAATCGTGGCAACAAACTGTAAGAGACTGCACTTTTCATTTTCATTGTAGAAATTGGATATTACTTATACAGACAAAAATCTCCTTCTGGATTTAATGTGTCATTGAATTATGTTTACCTTCGGCCTTTGAAGATGCCTTTGTATGCACATGCAACACCTGCTTACATATGCATCCAAGGACAAAACCAATGAATAAGCCCCTTCATTACAAAGAAAATTTTGTCTCTGGGCATGCTTTTGTTTGCACTGCAAAGGTAGCTGCTGTTGTTATATGATGAATGAATGGAATTCTGATGTGCCTCACATCAATAGAATAAGTTAGTCATTGTTAGCTTAAAACCTATTGATTTTAACAGAACTCAAACATAACATTCTGGGTGGTGGCAAGTATGTCCAAAGCAGCTCCCTGTGCTTAAATTGAAAAAAAAAAAGAGGAGGGCAGAGTCTGCTGTTATGCACAAGGTTTATGAAGCAAATGCTTAGGGCTACATTTAATAAAACAAATATTTTCATTGCATATTTTTCAGAATTCCCTATGTTCTATAAATATTTGACAGTATAAACTCAACTGAAGTTTGGTCTAGTCTGCAGGGGTAGGCACCCTTGGCTCTTTTATGACTCGTGGACTTCAACTCCCAGAATTCCTGAGCCAGCATGGCTGGCTCAGGAATTCTGGGAGTTGAAGTCCAGAGTCATAAAAGAGCCAAGGGTGCCTACCCTTGGTCTAGTGGTTAAGGCACCAGGCTAGAGACTGAGAGATCGTGAATTCTAGTTTTGCCTTAGACAGGAAAGTAGGCTAGGCGACTCTGGGCCAGTCACACTTTCCCAGCCCAGCCCACTTCAGTGGGTTGTTTTTGTGGGGAAAATAGGAGGAGAAAGGAGTATTATGCATGTGTGCTGCCTTGAGTTATTTATAAAAAAAATAAAGATGGAGTAAAAATAAATACATAATATAATAGTAATGTTAAGTGGAAATGCATAAAATTGTATTATAAATATGTACATGTTTAGGGAAACCGTGGTTCAATCATGGCTCCCTGCAACATAGACATTTTTGGTGTATTTCCTATGATACACATTAATGACCAATTTTAAAGGACACTGTGGCTTTCACTTTCAAAAACAGTGTATGTGAAAGGTACGAATTCCAGTTGTTGTTTTTTTAACTGATTATAATAGATAGTTTGCAAATTTGTTGAGGAGGGATATGTTTCAGAGGTTGAGAATTTGGTTTTATATGTCCTTATTTTATTTTTGATCTTGATTGCTTAATAATATTGGGTGAAGCACAAGCACACCTATATAATGTGCGATTCTGGACTTTAGAGAGATATGAATAGGAACTTAAATTTCCTTTTTTCCCTCCCTTCCATCATTTATAACATGTTTGTATTTTGGCTGTGTTTTTTGAGGGGGAGAAGAAGAAAAGAATAAAAGACTATTTACTAGTCCTGATTAATAAATATTACAGTAAACACATGCAGGTTTCACAAGCTAAACTTTATTAATATATCTTCTGCTGCTTTTTCTTTCTCCCCTCCCTTTCCCTGACATCATGCCATTCCTTTCTGGGATAAGCAAAACACACAGAAAGAACCAGAAATAATAATGCAAATAAATTAAAGCATGAGTTAAAAAAACCAAGAAAACTTAAAATATAGATTATGCCAGCATCAGTCACAATACCTTTCTATCTTCCTTTCTATATCTAACACACTGTTCAAATGTTGCCTTTTGTTCTTTAAACTTTTTATTTCTCTCTTTTTCAGGATCTCATCACCTCTGCTCAACTGTATCTTTCTCAACCTTCTGCTTCCTTTGAAGCCATTCAATCTTCCTTCATATATTTGTTTTGTGATTCAATCCTTGTTCATTCTCCCTGTATGACAAACAACTTCAACATAGCTACTTTGTATTTGTCACTTCTTTTGTATTCAACTTGCATTCTTGTTTTATGTACTTTTTATGTAACCAATTCCCACTTCTGCACATTCAAGTTTTGTGTTTCTCTTGATACCGTATACCCAATGCTCACTCCCATAAAACAAAATGGGCAAAAAACATTGCCATTTTAATTTATTTAATAGATTTCTGCAATATATCATATGCTATCCACTAAACGTCTACCAGAATTTCCTATTAAAATCTAAGAAATTATTTACAATTCTGTTCATTTTGTTGAACCCTGTTTGTTTTTCCTCTCTTTTCCTATTTCCAGAAGATTTTTATTTCCATCAAAATCACTCTGCATTTTCTTTGCCTCTTTATTTTTACTTTTCCTTGCTCTCCATAATTATATTCTTTGCAGCTATCTTTTTCTCCCTTTTCCCTATAATAACTTTTGCAGCTACCACCTGCTAATGTGTATTTTTCTCATCCACAGTCACTTCTATATCATCATTCCACTGAAGATTCTTTTTCATGCTTTCCATTAGCACATTTCACACTAGTCTGTGACATTGTGTAACTTAATTCATTTTGCTTCTACATCCTTTTTTAATATTAGAAAAAAAGAGATTCTTAGATTAAATAAAACAGAATAACTTTCCATTCATTCTGCTGGGAGATAGTTCTATCTTCAAATATATTTTTCACAAAAAAGCTCAAACCTTTTTCTGTAGTCATTCTACTTTTTCTTTATTATCACTTCTCTTTTTTCCCCTTCATATCTATTTTTCCCAAGATCTCTTATGATCCTTGTATCCTTCACTAATTCTCCAGTCACTCATGCTTTTTAATTCATTATTTTGTTGTGTGCATATGTGAATAGATTTATGTTTTAATGACATGCTTGAAACATATATTTTATAAGTGGATGGTTACTGAACAGTTACCATTAGTATTAATTTTTACTCCTCTGAAAGGCTGAATCACTTTTTCTGTATTCTGATTTTGTTCCAGTTATCAATCCATGCCACCTAACAGATTTTTTTTTGCCTTGGCTGCATTCATTTAGAACGTTATAGTTGTTCTTCATCCCATCCCCGGTTCTTCCATTGTTACTGTTCATTGAAACATAACATGCAGTTAACATCAGCCTAGGAATTCCTATTTTCATATACACCCACATCATTCTAAATAACATTAATTCGTATATTCTAACATACATTTTATCATTTTCATTCATCATTAAACTGATACATTTCCTTCCATTGTATTCAAGCTTACATTAGAAAATCATACCACTTTCATTCAGATATATTGCATCCTTTAATTTTGTAGTTTTTAAAAGTTTTTTTAGTTTATGCATCCTACTTATTTTTCTTTCTTTTCTTCCTTTAAAATTCATGTTTTTTGCTTTTTATTTCTTTTACATTCTAAATCACAGTG